GCGCTAATCGTTATGTATTTAATGCCAAAATGTTATGTTTTTAAATATATGTATCATGAAAATTTTTGCAGACTCAACGCTTGTATAGATAATACAGTATAGACTATCTCTATAAAGCGACTAAGCCTATAGGCTGTGGCAAGGTGTTCGCACTTAAAGCGATTAGCCAATTACTGCGTAGGTGGTATTCTTTGTCAAACCGCAAGTATTTTTCTCAAATTATCCGGTTCCGTTGGCGTCAAGTCGGCATTTCTTAAATAACAGACTTCAGGGAATTATAACTGACCCGCTATACTTATCCAGTAATGGCGAAACAAATACGGCCCCTACTACCCACGATGTCAGATTCACTTTTCACATGGAGGGGGGAAGGGGCGGTGGAGTCTGGCCTTTACACTATCAACGTTTTTGTGCTCACTGCATGCAGTATGCTTTTATTAACGAAGTTTGCACCAGTAACACCCTTCAAAAACACAAATTAAATTTAAAAGTATTTAAGTCACAGGTTTGCTTGGGCGAGATGACGCCACTTTGATCACAGCCACTTTGATGGTGTAAACCGGCCTTTACATAGTAGATGTATGATTGTTAGTCGGTGGACATATGATGTAAGACGTCATTATTGGGTGAAGAGCGTTTTGATGTACAAAATTCTTAATGAACAGTCCGCTCCAAGTCTTAGAGAAACATTTATAATAATTAAAGATCTTAATAAAGAATATAATCTTCTTAGATCTTAATAGAGAATATAATCAAACATTTTCATATAAATTACCAATTACGCCTCCTATATTAGCACTTTTTATCGCCTACATGTTTGACCGGCGCTACGCCCCCTCTACTGTCAACACCTACGTCTCGGCTCTCGGCTATTCCCACAAATTAATGGGATTGATGGATCCAACTAAAATATTTTACATTGTGCAAATGTTGAAAGGCTATGGCAAACAGGGTTTTCGTTTGGACGCTAGGTTGCCTGTTACGCTAACGATTTTAAATCGATTATTAATGGCTGTGCCACACTGTGTCGCTACGTACTACGACCAGTGCCAATTTCGTGCGATGTGTGCTCTAGCATTCTTCGAATTTTTGCGCGTGGGTGAGATCACCGCAACATCACAGCCGGGCAATTGCCCTATACAGTTAAACCAGCTCACCAATTTCTCAAGAGATGGTGAAGTGATTGGTTACAAATTAATATTTGCTGATTACAAGCATAACTACAATCAGCGACCATTTACTATGGTCATCAACCGGCAAACAAGCACTTGCATTGTACAATTATTATCAACATATTTAAATCATCGTCGCTGTAGTCCGGGTCCGGTATTTATGACAGTGGAGGGGCGTCGCGGTGCCGAGAAAATTTTTCACCGCAAACCTTGTTGCTTGCTTCAAATACTGTGACCTAAGTCCGTCGCATTACAAATCACATTCGTTTCGAATCGGTGCAGCATCTTTCTTTGACATCTCGTCTTGATCACCATATATATTAATGATCATTAGTAATTATTCACTTAAACCGTTATTTCTGACTATTTTATTCCTTTCTGTGTGTTAACAACAGTTAACAGGGGCGACTGTTATATGTTTAGTAGTTGTGTTAACAACAGTCAGCTGGGGCGACTGTTAAATGTTTAGTATTGAAGGGATCTATTTACAACATTATGCTACTACTCAAAGTGGTTTCGCAGAGGCGACTGCTTTCGATCGGCCTACACTACATTAACAGGGGTTACTGCGGTGTACTTTGACTCGCTATAAAATATTATGATAATTAAATACTCTTTGCTAGTGGTGTTGCGTTTTCCTTGGGTGGGGAGACTCCGCGATTTACGTTCGACTGACTTCAATGGCGTAGTCTTTGGCGTGTAGTCCTGCCACCTTTACTGGCAATGAACATTAACAGACTCAAGTTATTAACTCAAATATCAATTTTAATGATTTTATGATATTTCTAATTAAATGACGAGATTTAAATAAAGCGGCTGTGAATCAATTTCACAGCCAAATTATCCCAAGTTGAGTGTTTTGTTTCGCCAGTAAACTGAGCTCGTTAAATGCAACACCTCGTGAAAAGCAGGAAGGCAAAGACATAAATAAAAATATTTCCTAAGGAAATATGTTTTTTTATGTCAAGCCTGAATTATAGTGATAAGATAAAAGTAGGAAATAGTTAGATTGGATTGAGGCACATTAAGGTGGGACTTGGCGGAGAAGGAAATTCCGGCGCTTTTACCTACGTAAGAAACATAAAATCAAGGCCAAATTTTAGCTACTAAAAGCAAAGCAAAGTTATTCACTTCTCAATTCAACATTTCTCGGGATCGAGTGAAGACATACGAATTTTCTTCCCATCTCCTCCTGCTGGCCTGCCGCTTTGTATTTTAGTTTGTTGTCTTTTCTTGTACATATCATCATTATACCTTTTTTGCCTAATTGGCGTGTAGTCCTACCACCTTTACTGGCAATGAACATTAACAGACTCAAGTTATTAACTCAAATTATCAATTTTAATGATTTTATGATATTTCTAATTAAATGACGAGATTTTAAATAAAGCGGCTGTGAATCAATTTCACAGCCAAATTATCCCAAGTCGAGTGTTTAGTTTTGCCAGTAAACTGAGCTCGTTAAATGCAACACCTCGTGAAAAGCAGAAATGCAAAGACATAAACAATAAACTTGGATGGTTATGCCGTTGATTGTCTTCGGCATAGCCACTTAACTTTTATGGCTATGCCGTTGACTGTCCTCAGCATAACGATACAACTTGGACGGTAATGCCGTTGACTGTCTTCGACATAACCATTCGACCTGGATCGTTATGACATTGACTCCGTTCGATCTAACCATTCAACCTCGATGTTTATTGCGTTGAATATGTTCGGCATAGACATTCAACTTAGATGTCTATGCCATTGAATATGTTCGGCGTAAGCATTCAACTTAGATGTTTATGCCGTTCAATATATTCGGCATAAACATCGAACTTGGATGGTTATGCAGTTGACTGTCTTCGGCATAACCACTCAACTTGGATGGTTATGCCGTTGACTGTCTTCGGCATAACCATTAAACTTGGAAGGTTATGCCGTTGACTGTCTTCGCCATAACGATTCAACCTGGATGGTTATGCCGTTGACTCTCTTCGGCTTATAACCATTCAACTTAGATGTTTATCCCGTTGAATATATTTGACATAAACATTCAACTTAGATGTTTATGCCGTTGAATACGTTCGGCATAAACATTCAACTTGGATGGTTATGCCGTTGACTGTCTTCGGCATAACCATTCAACTTGGATGGTTATGACGTTGACTGTCTTCGGCATAACCATTAAACTTGGAAGGTTATGCCGTTGACTGTCTTCGGCATAACGATTCAACCTGGATGGTTATGCCGTTGACTCTCTTCGGCTTAACCATTCAACTTAGATGTTTATCACGTTGGATATATTTGGCATAAACATTCAACTCAGATGTTCATGCCATTGAATACGTTTGGCATAAACATTCAACTTGGATGGTTATGCCGTTGACTGTCTTCGGTATAACCATTCAACTTGGATGGTTATGACGTTGACTGTCTTCGGCATAACCATTAAACTTGGAAGGTTATGCCGTTGACTGTCTTCGGCATAACGATTCAACCTGGATGGTTATGCCGTTGACTCTCTTCGGCTTAACCATTCAACTTAGATGTTTATCACGTTGGATATATTTGGCATAAACATTCAACTCAGATGTTCATGCCATTGAATACGTTTGGCATAAACATTCAACTTGGATGGTTATGCCGTTGACTGTCTTCGGTATAACCATTCAACTTGGATGGTTATGACGTTGACTGTCTTCGGCATAACCATTAAACTTGGAAGGTTATGCCGTTGACTGTCTTCGGCATAACGATTCAACCTGGATGGTTATGCCGTTGACTCTCTTCGGCTTAACCATTCAACTTAGATGTTTATCACGTTGGATATATTTGGCATAAACATTCAACTCAGATGTTCATGCCATTGAATACGTTTGGCATAAACATTCAACTTGGATGGTTATGCCGTTGACTGTCTTCGGTATAACCATTCAACTTGGATGGTTATGACGTTGACTGTCTTCGGCATAACCATTCAACTTGGATGGTTATGCCGTTGACTATCTTCTGCGTAACCATTCAACTTGGATTGTTATGTTGTTGACTGTCTTCCGCATAACCATTCAACAAGGATGGTTATTCACTGAAGGGCTTGAATCCGGGTTTTTCCATTAATTTAGTTTATTGTACGATCATCCAGATTAAAATTTTTTAATTATTTCTGACGTTTCGCCTACCTACACGGCAGCCATTATCAAAGACGTACGTATTACAGTTACAAAAAAATTTACAGTTATTATAATTTTATCTTGCGTCAAAAATGACGGCGCGTATTCGTGATGTTGTTTGCTCGCCCCTGCGTTCAAGGCACGAGAGCCTGCGCTCATGCGCGATTAGTCCAGCGTATGCTCCTGGCATATCGCGGCAAATGTTGGTGCTGTTTTCATCGCATTTTGTAAACCAACTTTCCAAGAACATTCTCTCATCCTCAAAACCATTAAACTCCATACAAGTGGCTCCCTCCCAATCAATTCTATGATTTGTTTCCATATGATCAACCGCAATTCTATTCGCCACGTCTTGTTTCTCTGTTGATCGCTTATGTTCTTTAACGCGACAATCTAGAGTACGTCCAGTTTCACCGAAATAAGTTGCGGGGCATTCAGCGCAGGTCACTTTGTATACTGTTCCTATCCGGGTCTTTGTACTGGTTGGATCTTTCACTTTCGTTAAGGTATTTCTTAGCGTTACCGTTGGTTTGTGAGCCACACTGATGTTGAAAGGTCGTAGGATTCTTGCAATTCTTTCGGATGTACCTTTGATGTAAGGGATGGTGGCAATGGTCTTCTTCCGTTCAGTTTCGTCGGTAGTTGGCGTTGTTTTACGGGAATGTTCAATTACGTTGTTCACAAAAGGTTTAGAATATTTGTTGATGGTAAAAACTTTATCAAGGTGCTGCATCTCTTCTTCGAGGGTTTCACTAGAACTGCAAACTGCATGCGCTCTCTTCACTAAGGTTGCTATTGTAGCTGACTTGTGCGAGGTTGGGTGGTAGAATGAATTATCTAATAAACGGCTGGTGCTGGTGGGTTTTCGATAGACACTCGTTCGAAGGGAATTGCCGTCTCTGGTTATCGTGCAGTCTAGGAAAGCTATCTTACCATCTTTCTCAGGTTCCATAGTGAACTGTAGACTGGGGTTTTGTTTGTTGAGGTGATCAACAAAGTCGTTTTTCTGATGTTTATCGACACTCGTCAAGGTATCATTGACGTAGCGAAACCAAAAAGGTGGTGGGTTTGGGTAAGAGGACAATGCTCGTTCTTCTAACCGTTGCATTACAATCTCTGCTACGACTACGGAAACTGGAGATCCCATTGCTGTGCCATGAAGTTGTTGGTAGAAACTTCCGTTGTACTGAAAAAATGTAGACTCTAAACATTATTTGAGTAGGTCTATAATAATAATAATAGTTTTATTGATCCATCTTTAGTGTAAAAATACAATGGATTTACAGTGAAAATCTAAGTAGTAGTCTAGTAGTTATATGTACAGATAAAAATTGTAGGAATAGTTATAAAAATATTGTCTATAATAATGAGTTTGTTCTGGGAATGAACGATAGTTCATGCCTTTTAGTGTATGAGAAAATTCCGGGAAGAGTTTTTGGTGTTCTTAGGTCATACTTGTTCGTCACCATGTCTGGTATGTACTTCCTCCATGGGTGTGTTTCGTCATTAATGATTTTCTCGTACTCGCGAATTGAAAGTTTATCCCGACGTTGTTCTAGAGATTGAAGAGAATCAGGAGGTAGACCCAAAATTTTCAGGCTTCTATTCTGGATACTCTCCAGTTCGTCAGTAAGGTATTGTGGCAGGCCACCCCAAATTGGGGCAGCATATTCCAAAACCGGTCTTAATTTGGATTCATAGCACGTCAAACCCACATTAGTTGGTAGATCTGCTCGACGACACTCGTAGGTAGAATAAGCGTTTGTTTGCCCTCCTTGCAATTTCGTCAATGTGGGTGTTCCATTTAAGGGTATTGTCAATCCAAAGACCTAGCAACTTGAATGACTTTACTCTTTCAATTGCATCATCGCCAATTTTAAATGTGGTGGTTCCGGAATTGCAGCTTTAAAGCAGATCCACATGTCTTTCGTCTTTTTCGCGTTAAGTTTCATCTTGTTTCTATGTGCCCAGTCGTTTATTGCATCGAGCACCTTTTGCATGTTGCTAGTAGAACCGTATGGAATCACTTCATCTTGAGTGCAGTCATCTGCGTACTTGTGCGTATTGATGTCCAGATAATTGGGAATGCAGTCTTCGAGGTCATCCACATGAACATTAAACAATGTTGGTGATATAACAGATCCCTGGGGGACTCCGGAAGGGCAAGGCCTTATAGATGACAGAGTACCTTGTAATTTTACTTGCTGACTCCTCCCTTCTAGAAAGCTCCGTGTCCATAGCCAGAAGCTTTTCGACACGTTCATTTTGGCGAGCTTCCTTAAAAGCAATCCGTGGTCCACCAGATCAAATGCTTTGCAAAAGTCAATAAATAGGGCGTGGATACCCATTCTTCCATCACGTGAGTTTTCAGTCTTGTTGAACCAATTTTGGGTGATGCTCGCCAGTGCAGATACTGTTGATCTACCATGTGTAAATGCATGTTGATTGTCCTTGATCTTAAGGTCCCCTTTGTTTAATTTAAGTTGGATGCTTTCTAAGACTTTAGCCAATTGCGGTAATACTGAGATTTGGCGAAAATCATTATCCATGTCATTAGGAGGGAATATTTTAGGCACTGGGGTGACCAATGCGTGTTTATATAGGGTTGAGTATTTAGCCTGGGAGATGCTAGAGCATATGATGTTATGAATAACAGGGGCAAGTTCTTCATGGTAACGTTTCAGTAACCATGGAGGGATCTCATCTGAGCCAGTGGCCTTCCTGGGATTTAGATGTTTAAGGGTAGCCTTAATTTGTCCGATGGAAGGCAACGGGGGACTGGTATCATTCTTAAGTAGGTGTTCAATTTCCCCAACGTCCGGAATTTCAGTGGGGTTGGCATTCGGCCAAGGTTTGGTGAAGCTTTGTTGCAGGCGTTCCGCTAAGTCTGCTGCATCAGCTGGTGGTTGAGAGTTACAGTCATTAGCGGCAGCAAGTTCAAATATGGTTTTGTACCACTTTGCCGGATTCGTTTCGCGTGTACCCTCTGCTTTTAGTTGATAGTAATTCTTTTTCGCATTTGATACAAGTGAGGTAACTTTGTCACATAATAGTTTGTACCTTGTTATATCTCCAGATTATATCTCTATGATCTTTTCCTGCGGGATTGGAAGTTCATCATCATAGTTAGCTAAGGACTCTTCCATGCACTCAATTGCTAGTTTTAATGGAATACTTGTGAATAAAGACTTAACATCAAAGGAGACCAGTTCATGAGTGGCACTGATCGTCTCCGCTTGAATTTTCGTTATGAAATCTGCGGAATTCACGAGGCGGTGTTTCGAGCGCTCTGTTAAAGGCTTCAAAATGCGTGCAAGATATTTTGAAAGTTCATATGTTGGTGATGAACAAAACGACACGATTGGTCTCATAGGTGTATTCTCCTTGTGAATTTTAGGCAAACCATACAGTTTTGGAGCTTGCGCAACCGAACAACGAAGTTTTGAGTACAAAGGTTTCTTTATAATGTTTGCTAAATGTAACGGCCAAAGTTTTTTATTTAGGTTACGTTGTATCCATTTTTTTGTGGTACTCAGATTTATCCATCACTACGGTTACACGACCTTTATCGGCTGGTGTAATAACAATCGAATCGTCCTTTCGCAACTTAGACAATGCTTCTCGTTCAGCCTTAGTTAAATTGCTTACTGGTTTTTGACTCGTTTGAAGAGTTGACGCAACCTTAGCCCGAACTGTTTCTTTCGCTTCCGCAGAAAGATTCTCTCGATATATAGCAGATTCTACACTCGCAGGGATCTTAGCCGTGGGTAAACGTTTTGGTGCTAACGACTGTTTCATACCATATGACAAAACGGTCTTTTCATGCTCATCTAAAACTCTGCTAGATATGTTCTTGATAAAATTACTAGGAGGTTTCTGTTTATTATTCACATGTCCTTTCTGTTCTAGCGCCAGTAATTTATCGTTCAAACGTGTATGCGTCTCTTCTTTCACTTTACGAGATTGTTCTGTTGCGATATTCTTAACTACATCTGGCAAATCTCCGGGTATACTGCTTTCTAGGTATCTTTCAATGTCACTGTACGCTTTTTCATGAATACTCTTTCGCTTGTGACAATCATTTATTCTTACGATAACAAGTTTTTTGCTAGTTTGTCTTACCGTTTTAATTCCCTTGGCAGTTTTTAATGGCGATTTAATTGCGAGACTGGCTGAAAGTAGATCATTTTCTTTGCATCTGTGATTAAACCATAACTGTTCTTTTATTTTTGCAATTTCTTTTACGCGTCGAATGTATTCTTTTGCAAGATTGGCTGTCTTTCGTCCAT